CCTGTGTCAGCCTCCCAAGAGCTGGGATTACAGACGCTCACCAGCACACCCAGTCTCAATCGGTGTCTCAGTGTGCCCTGCAAGGGGGCCAGCATGGCATGCCAGGGATCGAATCCCAGCCCTGAGCTCTGCCTAAGGTGCTTTAATCCACTGAGCTATTTGGCTGGCCCTGGAAAAGACACATGAGTGCAGACATGCAGGATAGTTTGGCTAGCTGTGCTGCTCCTTCTGCTGGTCTGTTGAAAGGAGCAGTTAATGCTTTAAATATTTATTTATTTTTCTTCATGTATTTTTCTTCTTTTTAATTTCTTATAGCTCTTTTTCCAGTTTGTCAGGTTTACATTTGGCAGCCTAAACAACTAATTTGAAGATAACATTATGCAATATATCAACAGCTATCACATTCCTACTACTTTGTTTAATGAAATTTTGTATCATGTCTAATTTCTTTTACCATTTTGTATTCTTTAAAAAATAAAAAATATGCCCAGTCCCTCTAATAATAAATTATAGTCATTTACATTTTTAAAATAAAAGTAAAAAATTAAAAAAATTCATTCGGCTCCTGAGTTAGGAAAAAAAAAATTTCTAACGAGACTGGATTACATAGAATTTGAAGACTGGGGGTTTAAATAGCCAAAGGCATACTGGAATTAACTAATAAATGAAAACCTGGGGCCGAGGAGATAGCTCAGGGGTCAAAGCACCTGCCTGGAAAGTGCAAGGACCCACCTCTGATCCCTGGTACCACATGTTGTGCCAGCCCTGCCCTATGCCGTGCCAGCCACTAAAACTAGGTGTGGTGGTACACGCCTGCAATCCCAGCACTGGAGAGGCTGAGACAGGAGGATCACTACGGGTGTGAGATATGTACCAAATGTATAAAATAATATGTACCAAATAAATAAAATAATTTTTTAAAAAAGAAAACCTTCATTCTCTTAATGAATAGAGGCATTTGTTCTAATAGTGTTTGTAAATAGGATATTATGTCTGCATCTCCTACAGCAAATAACCACTAGGAAGAGAGTATGCAATGTGTTAGTTATTGAAACTGTCATACCAATTTGATTTGAAACTGTCTCATTGCTATTTGTCTCTCAATAAAATTATGGAAAAAAAAAAAAGAAAAGAAAACCTGGCTGGCATCCTATAGGGCAGTAAACCGCAGCATCCAGGGCTATCTTTTTCTGCCTGGCAGAGGTTGCCGACCCTTCGCTGGGCCACATTAACTTAGCACAGTCCACAGGATTCTCTCACATGCATCTCCACCAAGAAGCCCGTGTGGTAGACATGCAGCCGCACCCCACTCCTCCTGAGCTGCCACATAGCACCACTAGCGAGTACCACAGGTGTCCACATGCACAGATGCGTGCAGGGACCAGGGCAGCAGACAACCAAGAGCCCTCGGCAACACCTGAGCCTGCATTTGGAGGCTTGCCCTTGGCAGGGCTGCTGTAACGGAGAACTCAGAGCAGTCTTTGCCAGAAGCAACGTGGGGCTCCAGGGGCCTAGCAATGTCCATGCTGTTGGGGGGAGGGGGACAGAGCTGGACAAGCCGGGGAGCAGGGTCCTCCACCGTGAGTACACGGAGTCCTTCAAGGCCACAGGGGAGAAGAGGGCAGGAGGAGGAAGACATGCAGGGGGAAATTTTCTTCATTAGAATGGGAACAATGGTGATGTGGAAATCTTTCTCACATACTATGGGAGTGTTATCCAATTTCTTCTTTTATTGCATCTTTCACTTCAAACGCTCTAAATTGCTGTCTTTTCCCAACTCTGTTATAACCTGTGGCAGAAAAAAGGACAAAGTGAGGATTTCCCAGCCAAGTGCCCTCCTGCCACCTCCTTGGCCCGCACACCGAGCCACATTCGCAACCCTTTAAAAAATAATGTTGCTATCGCTATTTAAATACTGGATCTCACTAAGTAGCTAAGCTGTCTGGGCTGGACTTGAAATTGTGACCTTACTGCCTGACCTTCCAGAGGCCTGGAATTACTGGCGTGCACCATCGCGCCCAGCATGCCAATCCCTTAGGAAGAATGACTACAAGACCCTGCCGACCAAAGTCCTGGTGGACGCAGCAGAGAGGGAGTTTCTGCCTGAAGAAGGGACAGCCTGCGGCTTGGCAGGTCGCCAAACAGGAAGCTTGGAATAAAGCTCCCCAGCAAGGTTCAGGCCAAGGAAAGGCTTCCCTTCTCCCTTAGACTGAAAACGAGCCGGAGAAGGATCAAGCCATTGGAAGGGGGCGTGAGAGCTGCAAGGTGCAAAGCAAGGTGAAGAGCGTGACCGTGAAGGGGAGGTCCCAGGAGCAGCTCAGGCGAGGAGGGGCGCCGGCCGAGGGACGCGCCAGGCGGCTGGGCTGGGGACAGAGGTCAGCGTCTGCACCCACAGTTTTCATTACCCTGGGCGGAGGCCACGCTGATGACGCTCGCCGGGTGGAACTGGTCCCCAAGATAGTGTTTCTTAGTTTATTTTGTTCCCCTTCTTCTCCCTTCCTCCCTCCTCCCATGTTAAGATCCCCTTTCATTCTTCGAAGAGCCAACTCCCTATCTATCTCTGTCTCTTTTCGTCAGCTCTTTCCATGGTTCACACTTGGATTTCTCCCCTAGGAGGAGCTGCGCGACATCCAAGCTGGGGTCATCGCACTCACACCTGCGGTCTCGAGGCGCAGCCACCCCGCCGCGCGGCTCTCGCTGTCCTTCTTCCCGGCGCAGTTGTGCTCGGTTGCGTGTGACCTCCACATTTCCCGGCCCCCCATCTCGCGAAGGGCTGAGCGCCGAGCGCGAGCTGCAGCTGCTGAGCGCCGCGCTGCCCCCGCGGGCTGTGCGGGGACCACTGCCGTCGTGCGCCTCCGAGCAGGACGCCCAGCGTGGCCTTGCCTGTCTGCAGGGCAGCTGCTCCCGGTGCTGGAGTCAGACAGCAGTGTTCAGTGCCAGCCAACAAGAAGCAAGCTCTGCTTACTAGCGCGTAGTGGTTATCCACGACGATGGGCACACTGTGCCTTCTTCACGCTTGCGTGCGACACTCGTCCATAGAACCCGCCCTCGCTCCTCCTCCCTCACAGCGACCTACCCCAACAGTAGGCGCAGGTACACTGCCTTCAACTGACTGGCTTTTCCCCCTGAACCAGGAATTACAAGTCTATGAACTGACAATAAAAATACGCCTTTGGGTCCATGTATATCGACGAGAGCTACTGGGGGACGTCCATGGGCTGGTTGGGTATTAAACACAGAGTTTGCTTTCTGTTTAATATTGAATAAGTGCATCTTATATTTAGGGACTAATTGCTACTTCAGGGTCTTAGAGAGCTGCTCAAGCTAAATGCTTCACTAGCAATTATGCACACTTTTGATTCACAAACATCTTAATCTCTCTAAATGTCCCTGTTTATGATACTTTAAATGTGAAATTGGAGAGACATTGCAGTTTTTTTTTTTTTTTTTTAGAAACAGTAGTTTTTCTGAAGCTATAGAGAATGTCTCTTTTGTGGGGAAAAAAAAGTATATATGCTGTCTTTTCTCTCCCCTAAGGCTATGAAACACTGTGGTAGTCCTTTATCAGCATGTTTATGCGGCATGATTTTGCTTATTTAGATGTTTGTAGAGTGTAAAATTATGGGGCTGTGGTTTGTAACCAGAACTTGCTTCTCCACTTTCTATCTTCTTTTACTTGAATCTTAAGAGTTTTTTTGTCGTTGTTTTCTTTTGTATTCCATTGTTTCTGTTTTCCTCTGTAAAGCAGATAAAGGGATCTAATCTCCCCCAAGCAAAGCTAATGGGTTGGTCACCAAGGACGATGCACACAATCTTGCTTATAACCCCTTCT